CTGTCGGCAATGCGGTAGCGAAGTGGCTGTCCGGAAGCTGCGACCGGAACGGGGGGTGCGCAGACCGTCTAGTCAGGCACTGCCAGCTGCCTAGGGACATCGAGGCCGCAAATGAGCCGGTGCCTAACGGTCCGCCGAGTGATCCTCCCAGCGAGGGTTAGTAAAGAAGTGAACTTCCACCAGTTCTGGCGTGCTAGCGGCTAGCGTCAGAGCCGGTAGAACCCAATTCCGTCCCACGCCCCCATGGGGGCGCCCCTGGGCCCCATGCCCCATCACCGATGCCGCCGCCGTCGTTTTGTTTGTTTGTTGTAAATTGACCTGTATGATGTATTGAAATATACACTTCTTACATGCCTTTTTTACAAGTCTAGAGAACGGGAAGAGAGCGTCGGAAACGCATTCTGAGTATGTTGCGAACACGTTGAGAGGGCGTTGCGAAAATGTTTAGGACGTTTACTCAGGGTCGCAGGGACGGCAATGCGAAGTAGCGACAACGTGGTGCGCACGTGATAAAAACGTCGCAGAGACGTTGCCAAGGCGTTCTATACTCCTTGTAGTCACGTTGCGGAAACGTGGTGACAACGTTCCAGAAACACTGTTGGTACGTTACAGAAAACATTTCATAACGTTGGCGGGACGTTGTAAGAACAGTTTTGGGACGTCACGGCCACGTTACAGAAACGTTGTGATGACATTCAAATGCATGGTCGGATGACGTTGTCACGCCGTTGTCTGGAGTCTACAAAATTACGTTGTCACAACGATAAATCGGGACGTTGTGGTAACCATTTGACAACGTTTAAACGACGTTGTAACAACGGCAAATTGTTAGCTGGGCCTACCTATACGCAAAATTAAAAACTCAACGGATTTCGGCCACTTAATTTTGGTGATGTCCTATTTCCATTTTTTTATTTTGTTTGTTTTATTTTTAGTGCCCCTGGGCCCTGGCAGGTCAAAATCACGTCGGAGGCGAAAGAAATTCACGGGAATCCCAAAAATCACGTCAGGACATTCAGGGCACTCTGACCAGCCTGACAGCTAGGGCCCTTCTTACTTCCTGGGGCCTCCAGTGAATAACCGCTAGTGTCTGTGTCGGCCCCTCTGACTCCTCAGTAGGTAGGAGGCCCTCTGTAGAGGAGACCCTCTGTGGAAAGGAGACCGCCTGAATGCAGAAGGCCCTCTGAAGAGAGGAGACCCGCTGTAGAGAGAAGGCCCTCTGAAGAAAGGAGGCTCTCTGTAGAGAAGAGGCCCTCTGAAGAGAGGAAGCCCTTTGCAGAGATGAGGTCCTCTGGCTCTTTGAAGAGAGGAGGTCCTCTGTAAAGGAGGCCCTCTGAAAGGGAGAGACCCTCAGTAGAGAGGAAGCCCTCTGTAGAGAGGAAGCCTTCTGTAGTTAAGAGGCCCTGTGAAAAGAGGAGGCCCGCAGTAGAGATCGGTGGTCCTCTGTAGAGAGGAGACCCCCTCTGTGTTTTGACAAATGTTTTTGCAAATTTTTCGCGGCGCTTCGCGCCGCCGATTCATGTACATACGTACAGGTCAATATGAAATCGTGACTGTAATTACATAAACCAACCGTGTCAAATTGAATCAGAATTCATATGTGTACTGTGAAGAAACTCCGGCTTGTACTGCCATGCTAAAAGGGTGGTAAAATTTGTGTTTTGGAGCGGAGCTGTGTTTTGACACATTCTTTTGCAAATGTTCTCGGCGCTTCGCGCCGCCGATTTATACACCAATCAATAAGAGAGATCGTGACTGTAATAACACCAACCGTGTCAAATTGAATCGGAATTCATATGTGCACTGTGAAGGAACTCCGGCTTGTACTAGCATGCTAAAAGGGTTGTAATATTTGTGTTTTAGAGCTGTGTTTTGACAACTTTTTTCAAATTTTTGCGGCGCTTCGCGCCGCCGATTCATACACAGGTCAATAAGAGAGATCGTGACTGTATGCTACTAATGCATTGGGCATTAGACTAATGCATAAGTGAGGTAACTATATCTACTACTTCTGGGTTTTTAAGTCGGTCGATCCGCCCCCCCCCCCCCCCCCAGTAAAAAAATCCGTGGCGACGCTCCTCTATAGGTGGGTTTCACTAACTAAAACTACTGAGCCGAGTGACTTACGATAAAACTTCAACTCAGAAACGACGAAGATCAAATGTCATTGGATCTCGACATACTCGCTCCCTACCCCCCCCCCCCCCCGGTCGTCAGAATTCATTCATCAGACCTGGCATGTCGGCCGACTGGTGACCCCCCCCAAAACGTTCCCCTAGATCCGCCCTTGGTTTGGTGTGAAGAAAGGGGTGCTGCTGGCCGTTGATTGCTAAATGCACGGCTGTTTCCTAGGAAATTGGCTCGACAGCTGGCGTCCCAGAGGACAGTTTTCAGGGACAGTTTATGATCACACGGCAGTGACGGCGACGGGTGACGGGTGACGAAGCTGCTTGGAATTGCTACCGAGTGGCGCTACTCGTCTCAGGCACTGATATATTCGGCTTAGGATTTTACATGCTAATAATGTTTGCAATGCGGATTACATACCTTTGTTTTCCTGGAAGGTAAACCTGCCTTAGTACCTCGCATCACCGGACTGTGGACTGGTGGAGGTATACCCGCACCTGATACCGGACAAGGTTCTGGTCAGCGCTGTACCGACGGGATGTGTGACGTGCTATATACCTAGACTGCCATGGTGCCACGTTCTAGACTCTAATGAGATGTGTAGTGCCACGCTGCATGCAACGCAGCTGTGAAAGACGAGAAGTCCATGACCGTGCTATGGACAAACGGGTTTTGGGAAATCGGCGGCCGCAGTGTCGCTGGTGCCCAAATAGTACCTTATTTAAATTAATTACCTTATTTAAATTGTATGTGGAAATATGTCTAGAAATTGGTATGAAATGTAGACATGTGAAATCAATAGGTATGCAGGGACACACCTTTCCAATGCCAAACGGACCTGAGTGGCAGGAAACCATGATTTCTACGCCCTTGGCTAAAAGATGATTTGGGGTTATCTGAAATTCACCCATGCCACATTTTCTAACTCTTCAAAAACTAATACTTTTGTTATTATTTTGGTATGGTATACAATCACCAATGACTATATAGGTAGTTTAAGGATGTTTGCTGTAAACGACGACGGGTCGCAGAACCGGTTGAATCCGACGGTCGCCTCCGCGCGCGTCGTCCTCCCGGTGTGACCCTGGCCGGTGCTCCCTCCTGAATATGTATGACCGGTATCGAGCCGCTCATCGCGACACATCAACGCCCGTCCCCTGACCTCTGCGGCTGTCCACCGTCACCGGGCTCCAACTGTACACCGCACCTCCTATTGGTAATGCTTGTTTATGTTGGGAAAACATATTCTAATTTCACTGATCAGTCCTCCCCGCTCAATCAGAAGTCCATACCCTATTCGTCGGTCAGTCAGACGCCCCCCCCCCCCCCCTCCGTCGGTCAATCAGAGATATGCCCCTCCCCCTCTCCAACGGTCAGTCAAGAGCCATAGTGCATACCCCTGGGCCGTCTGGCGCCGCCCATCGTGGCGTGATATGGCGTCATGGCCTGTTAAAATACCGCGGGCTGTATTTGTCTATGTCACCGCCCGGACTGCTGTCGGTCGCCCCACCCGGGGGGGGGGAGGGTGGTGACGGGTCATGTGCCCCCGTTCTCCGAGTCCAGAGCAGCGCGTCAGAAGCTGGGAGGGTCCGGGGACTGGCAGCAGACACGGCCATGACAGGTCGCAGAGCGGCAGCGACCGGCGCACGGCGGGGCCGTGGCGAACAAAGTCCGTCCCCGGGTGGACTGATCGGAGCCGGCGCAAGCGGGAACCGTAACGATGGGACGTGGAAGTGAGGTGGTTTGGCCTGGACTTCGGACCGAGCGGCCTCGCACCCGCGTGAGATGCGTCGTATCGATGAGGTCTGGAAATGATGGCGTGAAGTGGCGTAAACAAGGCGGTACGGCGACGAAAATATCAATACGGCTGACCTTAATATGTGATTGTTCTCCATTTAGGGACATTCGGTAGGCTGAGTGTGTAAAACAGGCTCCTAGGGCCGTTTGTTAACCAGCGGTGTTTTTATTCCCCGGCTTCACCATTATTTCTGGTATTATCCGGTTTGAAGCTAACTTTTGCACAAATACCTAACCCTGTTTACGGCCGGCGACGGTTATTTTGCCATTGCGTTGTCGGTGGTGCACCGATGCAGCGCGTATTGCACAGTGCTGTGCGGGGGAGGGCAGATAAAAGAAGAGGCAAGGAAACTGCTGACTCAGCCTGCTGTTGGAGACTCGGTCCGTTCTATGACGCCATATCCTGGTTCCCAAAGCTGCCGCTCAATTCCTCCTCATAGCACCGTGCCCCCCATCATAGTCGGCATCTCACCAGCGGTAAATAACGGCGGTTCCTCGAACGTCGAATTACGGCGGTTCCTCGAATCACCATCCACACAGCACACATTCATTGCCTTAGTCTAACCCACCGACCCCGACCCTGACGGCCGCCCTGCCGGAGCGGCTGCGGAGCGCCGGGGTTCGGTGGGCCAGGTCGATAGAGGGGGGCCGGGGCCGCCGCTGTTGCCCGGCTGGCAGCCGGAGACGAGGAGCGGCGCGGCGGCGGCGGCAGTGGCGCGCCGGGTGGCGGCGGAGCAGCACGGTGTGGGTGATGGTGGCGGACGATCGACCGACGGACTGAGGGGCGGGCCGAGTGACCCATAGGTATCCCTACCTGCTGCGATAGTGGGCTTTTGTTGTGTATCCAGTGTCTCCAATCGACATCCCTCTGTGTGCTTTATGAAAGTATTCTTTTTAAGAGTTGCCCGTTTACTTACCTATTGATTATTGATTTTCTTTATCCGTTTTATTGTTCGCACTGTGAGGTAGTTTTCATCGTTCCTTTGTCGCCTGTCTTTGGAACACCGCGTATTCTGCTAAAACAAAGTAATGCGTGTCCACGGGGTCGGCGTTCAATCATGTGTCGTCCCTTTCAGGTAGCAGCCCGGTCGACAGTCTTTGGTGGGCTGTAGCGTCAGCAGCAGCAGCAGCAGCAGTACCTACCTTCACAGCAGCCATGGCTCAGCAGGGCACCCCGCGCACGGGCGTGCCGCACGCCCACAACAGCATGGTGGAGCGACTGCTGGTGGCCGGCACGTCGGCCTGCATCGCAGACGCCATGACGTTCCCGCTGGACACGGCCAAAGTCAGACTGCAGGTCAGTGAGACTGGGGACACAGACTGCAGGTCAGTGCTGCCATACAAAGGCAAAAACTACAGCCTGACCTGCACTACGTGAGGTCAGGCTCTGACCTCACATAGTAGTGTTTGCCTTTGCACGGCAGAGTGGCTTCCCGGTGAAGGTCAGGCCTGTTCAGCAGAACCACGGACATTTGACACTGTGCGAGATCAGACGATTTGTTACACTGAAGAGAAGGGCGCGATCTGTTTTTGTTTTGCCTGTAACACGCCAGGGCTATGGTGACATGTCCGTTGCATTTCACATAATTCTTCCTCTGCTGCTCGACGGGCTAATTTTGTGCATCACTGATGCTGTTTTCGCAGAACAGCACGATGCTTACCGTCAGGGTCCCGCCACGGCATACGCTGCGCGATGCTAAATTTTCACATTCAATATGCATTCACATGCAGGAGAAATTTGGGATGACCGTTCACGCAGCAGATAGATTCGGCAACTGGCACCATCGGCGCCAATGCTCTTACGCAGATGAGCCTGGCACATTGAAGCTGCGCTCTGCGTTAGTCTGATGAGCCTACGCTCGGGCAGCGCTACGCGGCCCACCCAGTCAGAATGTCGCCCATCGACATCTTCGTATGGCTAGAACTTGCATCACTACCCTGCGTTAATTTACATATCATTGGCCGGCTCGGCGTCCGACCCAATGGCTACGGGTTGAGCTCTCTGCCGACAAAGTCGCGGTAGCAAGCGGTCTAACTAAACAGAGGGAGACTATTTTGTCACAGTGACCGGACAATATTTATCTGAACTGGTGGCGCCAGAACAGGAAACGTCCGCCCGGTCCGCTCCGAGTAGACAGCACTAAAACAGCCGGGGTGGTGCGTGTGACCTCGCGGTGCCCTGGCGGCGACCTTGGTGTGACCGCGCCCGGCCGGGGTCTGGTGGAGAGACCAGCGGGCCCGCACCCGCTCATAATCCGTGTTTGCGCACCGCTCCGGGGCACACGCCACCAGAGAGCGGCGGAGGCAGCGACGTTCTGCGCCGGTCCGCGACCCCATTCCGGGCGGACTGGTGCCCGCAGACGGATGTTAGGAACATAAACCATGGTCTGCGGCGAGGCTGTGAGGTCTATGAGGCTATGCTATGAGGGCCAGACTTCAAATACGGTCGTAAAGTGCAGAGGTGCGGCACAGGCACTGCGCAACACGCTATCCGCATCCCACCAGTCGCGATCAATACGATTGGTCGTTTCTGCCTGGACACCCTGTGGCCGTGATGCCATTGTTGAACTTATAAAGGCCGATGAGTTCGTAGTTGAAGTGCGTATAACTTTTGTGTAGTTGGGTACGACTTCTCAAGCACACAACTTCCAAAACGGAATGTGCAGGAATCTGTTGTCCTCGTCGTGCTTTGGCCGATTGACTTCTTCGCTGTTGATTTCACTCTAACATGATTCAGCTAATTTGGCCTCGTTGTCCATCTTTGTCTCGTGAAACCATTGCACAGTGCATTAGCAAAATATCACATCAAGTAAATGCGTAATGATGTATTTGCGGATATGCGTATTGGATTTCTATTAGCTGATTATAATAATTGAACGGGTATTTCATAAGCAAATGTCCGTGTCTTTCAGCGTTTTATATTAGTCTTTTATCCGTCTCGCGGATGAATAGCTCGTTCGTGACCCTCGTCCCAATTGTCACATTCCAGGTGCAAGGCGAAACGTCCGGCTTCCTGCTGCGGGTCAGCCTGTTCTACGAGGAGGCCGTGATATCGAGCGCCGCGCCGCCCAAATACCAGGGCATGCTGGGGACCATCAAAACGATCGCCACCGAGGAGGGACCCAGGTGAGTCGGCGAGGTTCTCTGTGGGTTTGTGTTTGTGACTGCTGAGTCACGGTGTTCCGGGTATTCGTATTACGTATGTGTTCGTGTTAGCTCCACTGACGACCTGTGCTGTTTGCCGCAGGGGGCTGTACAAGGGTCTGGCGCCAGGACTGCAGCGACAAATGTGCTTCTCTGCTATCAAACTCGGCATGTACGACACATTCAAGGAGTTCTACCACTCCTTCATCGGAAGTAAGTGTGTTTGCCTCACGAAATAAAAATGTAGTAACGTGCTGTGTAGATACGCATATCGGACGCTAATGGTGTTCGATTTCATCTCTATTGTACACTGGGATTCTGGCTTGGAAGTTCACCGTTCTGTTTCACGTATTCTGTTTTCGTGCTCATCTCAGACAGAATGAGCACCCGTCTCTCTGCCACAGCCGCCTCCCGCCGTCCTCTCCGCCTCCACCCTGTTCTCTGCCGCTGCGTAGGCGCCGTCCCTTTGTGCCAGCACCCGACGCCCCGCGGGCTGCTCCAGTGACGTATGACGCCGTTTGGCAGGTCCCAGCCAGAACTACGTCAACATCCCCACGCGCGTGATGGCCGGCATGACCACCGGAGCGCTGGCAGTCATGGTGGCGCAACCCACCGACGTCGTCAAGGTATGTGGGGGCGTACCGGCGGACCTGGGGCCGGGTCATGGCACGTGTCGAACGAAACGAACTGAGCTTGCTGTGTCGTACAAGGATCACGTCTGCCGCTGGATAAAAAAATCGTAGATAACCAATATTGAAGTAGGTATGCGTGATTACATCCTAATTCCTTGAAATTGCGAGGTTTTCTGTGAGGCTTCCAATGGCGGTTGAGTCGTAACCGTCGACCCCATGTGAGGATAATTATCTTTTCAGGTCAGGATGCAAGCCCAGAGCCAGTCCAAGGGCCCTCCGCGATACAAGAGCTCGTTGCAAGCCTACCGAACAATCTTCAAAACAGAGGGAACTAAAGGCCTCTGGAAAGGTCAGTTGATGAGAAGGGTGGTGATAACTACAAAGGACGCGACCCCAGACACGATTCGCCGACATACGTCAACGGGCCTGACATGACGGGAAACAGGTCACAGATCAAATGTCACCTCTGTAAGGGTCAGGAAGTTTTCAGGGTGTGTGAAATTGTTTATCCCAAAGGTACTGAAAGTTTTGTTACGACCAGCCCCTTTTTCACGAGTTATTCAGAAAAATCTGGAGGGGTCCATCTGACCATCTTCCACTAATGAGTGCATGGGTTAACACATCAGCACAAGCTGAAGCACCAACCGACTTCTAGTAACGGGTTACCACGCTAGTCGAGGGACGTTTGGCAGGCTTTGTCAGCTAATCCGTGACAGGTCGCTCGGCTGGGAGTGAGGGCCCTGGCCCGGTGCCTGTTCATTTGGCAGCTTACCGACCGTGCCCGTTCACCTGGCAACGCACTCGGTGACGCGGGGGGGGGGGGGGGGTCTGGACGCGGTCTGGCACGGTCGCGGGGTCATACGCGCACCTTAGTCAAGGTCAAGGGTGGCGGAATCGCTGACACTGCTCTGTCTGGGGACTCTCGATGGCTGATTTTGCCCACCTTGGCGACCAATTTATGGGTGAGGACATGTGAGAGGGATACGTACTACCGGTGCGAAGCTCTGTACGGCTCAAGTGTATCAATTTAGTCGAGCAACTACGCAGCAGTCGGTAAACAACTACGCAGTGCATCAACGGGGTCGTCCGGCTGCCAGAGAATGGTTGGAATATTTGGCTCGCGACAGCAGTTCATAAGGCTCTACGACTACATTTCCAAATAGATGGCCATGCTATAAATCTTGCATATAAGTGACAGAGTCCCGCCACCGCCAGAGTCCCGTCTTCTCTCTCCAATGACGCCCGCCTTTTGTTCGCAGGGTTCACGCCGAACGTGATGCGTAACGCGATCGTGAACGTGGCGGAGACGGTGTGTTACGACGTGACCAAGGACACGCTGCTGTACTACCACCTGCTGCAGAACGGCATCCCGCTGCACTTCAGCGCCGCCGCCGTGGCAGGTCAGACTCTAACCCTCTCTAACCTACTCTGAGATCGCCTCCGTATGTGACTGGCCGCTCCTAACAGTTGGCTATAGGTAGATTCACTGGTTCAAATATTTTGGGGGTTCAAGTTTTCAGGCGAAAGTGAGCACAAGTGAGCATTTGGAGGCTCCTATAACGCCGCTGTTTCTCTGCTGATCCTAATCGCAAGTGCGCACCGGCATTGCGAGGCTCTCTGTTTTCTGTTGAGTCACCGTGGCTGGCTCTCGGTCTTGTTGGCATCCTTTCCTCACAGATTCTGCGTGTCACGGTGATATGTTGAGTCGCCGTTTCCAGAACTGTTTCTGACTAGTGGTTTCTCACTCTCACAGGTCTGTGCGCCACGGTGGTGGCCTCGCCGGTGGACGTGATAAAGACGCGCTACATGAACGCCCAGCCGGGCGAGTACAGGGGCGCCGTGGACGCCGCCGTACGCATGTTCATGCAGGAGGGACCCGGAGCCTTCTATAAAGGGTCAGTACAGCTGATTACTAGTCTGGTAAATGTTCTATTTTTAATTGTTCAATTTTCCTTTTATTTTTCGATAGGAAAAAAATTGTATGTATACGCAGCAGGCAAATGTTTTGAACCTTGCTAATTTATTCTAGGGTCGAAATTCAATGTCAATGCCGTTCCCCTAGCAAGCTACTGATGTGCTGAATAGTATCGGGGCGATCAGCACACTCCGTGTGTTAGTATTTCCACGAGCTGCTGTCTCTCCCGGTGCGATGCCGCTGACCGGACCTCCGCCCCCGCCGCCAGGTTCCTGCCGTCGTTCTGCCGCCTGGTCAGCTGGAACATCTGCATGTGGCTCACCTACGAGCAGATCAAGGAGCTGGCGCGCCGACACCACGAACAGTAGGTCGCAGAGTCGCCTGCCTGCTATTCCTGTGCAATCGACAGGTATGCTATCCGCGCCCGGTATCAGGAGCAGTAGGTTGCAGAGCCGCCGGTCGACAGACGTGCGATCCGTGCGCTGCCATCACGAACAGTAGGTCGCAGTTCCGTCACTCGACAAGGATGGGAACTGCGCCCGGCATCGGGAGTAGCCGCGGGAGTTTCAGAGCCGCCGGTCGGCTCTACTCTCGATAGTCATGCGATCCGAGCCTGCCGCCACGAACAGTAGGTCGCAGAGCCGCCTGCGCTTGACAGGGGCGCTCCTAGCGTCAGTCCGCCGCGGTCGCGTCACCTGCCGGCTAGGGCGGATCTTGGCGACTGTCCCTGCTCACTGGCGGAGCTGAGGGCGCCACTGCGGCTGGACTGACTCAGTAGGGAAGTAGTGCGAGGCAATAAGGCTGTCCCAGCTCTGTGACGGAGTTGTGAGAGGCACTGTGACCGGACCGGTTCTGTAGGGAATGCTGTGCCGCCCGGACGGAACTGAGGGAGCCACTGCGGTCGCCACACGACTCACTGGTGGAGCACTGTGACCGAAACCGGTCTGTGAGGGATCTGTTTGAGCCACCGTGGCCGCTACGGCTCACTGGAGACTCGGCGCCCGCCCCAGCTCGTCGATTCAGTGATCGGAGCTGTGGATCATGTGATGTTGAGATACTATCTACAGTGCGCGGTTTTACGTGTGCTCTAAGTATAGCCCGTCTTCTGTGGTGCTGGATTAGCTGCCAGGGCGCAGATTGAGCGCGAAATGCTATTATAGATCTGACATGACGATTGACGATATCAGGAACTGCGTGTTATCTGTCCAGCTCGACATTGGACGAGAAATGTGTCGTATTTTAGGTAGGTAGAAGAGTATCGTGATACCTATGAAATGTCAACGCACACCGCTCATAGCGCAGTGATAAGTTTTAGAGTTGATTTTCTCTACACCATTATTTTCCACACCTTATGTCTATCATCTGCTCATGATAAGCACCAGACCACGAACACTAGGCAACATGAGCGTTCACTGGATGAGTTCGATAATTGTTTCAGTGCAATATGTGTGGTTTCCTAGCACCATATGTGGACTGTGATGGCTCCTGTGGTTCTTACTTCTTACCAGCCACGCGGCGCTTCCGATTCGTATCGTACCAGTATCACCCTAGCCAGTTCCTTCCAGAGCGAGGGAACTACGCTCCCCGCTGAATATCGGTGTATCCATCCATATGTATATGACTATGCATTTAGCTGCATTTCATTCTGTTTTTGAAAACCCAAATATATTTTCGTAGACGAGTGACAATTTTGTTTGTGAAGAGCCATACAGTTGTCGGTGTGCGTTTGACAGATGATTTTCACAATCCACGAGGCAGAGTTGCCGATATAGCCCTAGATCATAGCGGCTAGGACTTAGGTGCCAATTTTGTAATTTTTCTTACGGAGGATTAATCTGACTTCTCGTAAACAGACCATGATGACATCATGGACATATTGGGACTACGCTCGCAATTTATGCCGAAAATGAAGTTCTTCTCCTATATAGTTGGCCCGTTTGGACGCTTCCTCGCCTTCGTGGATGCGATGTGGTTGCCGATCTGCAATGACACACGTGAGAACACTAGGTGCGCCGAAAGGAGGCCGAATTGTTGGATTGCAGATTCTGACGTGATTTTGTTCCCTTCTACCTAAAACTGTTCCACTGCCTGCCGGCTGGTAACCGTTTGACCTTTACTTTGATGAAGGCGGCTCAGGCTGATGAAGGCGTTGGCATCAATCTCAATACACAGCGGAAATCAGTGATATATTTTGCACTATAAAGTCGCACGTCGCTGGTAACGAATCGAATCGGCTTCAATTTATCAGGTCCCCGCACAGTGCGTGTGGCACAGCTTGCACATGTCCATGTGAATAGATTATGAAGTACTTGTTTACCGGGTCCGTTTTAATTCAATTCAATTTGTATCGTGGCGTGGCGGGCTGCATTCAACTATAATACGATGCTTTACGATACAGTAAAATGTTTGCTTTCATCCGATCAGTCGTCGTGTCAGATCAGATCAGATCAGTTTCAGTCGTGTTAGAGCCCAGTAAAGAAGGTTGTATTTTTGTTGCTCAAAACATGGGAGTGAAAACGGTAGCATCCACATGTATTTATAATAGAAAATCGATTGTACACCTAGATGATTCATTTCACACCATTGAAAAACACTGAGTAAGAAGCATTGAACGGCCCGCGTCCAGCACCCTCGGCTACAAAATGGCACAGGAGCAGCGGCCGGGGCAGTGCGAGTCCGTCCCCACCGCGCCCGGCTTCAGCGAGGCAAACTTTTGCATCTCCTCTTCGTTGGCCGACAGTTCTGAAAGATCTGGGAATACAGAGCACAGTGTCAGTGTACGAGGTCTCGGCACAAAAGCTATGGCGCTATGGATGACGATGTTATTTTTGCCTGCCTGCAATACAAACTGAATTAAAATCACTATCTTGACGCAAGCTAACGACACCGGAGGTTGTTGGCTCGCGGACTCAATGTCTGGTGTTGGCTCCTCTCCGTACGACCAATAAGATGGGTGACGCTACCATTCACGAAGTGCCATTTACAGCTAACCTCGATGGTTGCGCCACGCACGATAAAGAAACACACCCTGGGTGAGCTGCTCGCCATATTTCTGCCCTCGAGCCTCCCCTCAGGCTCTAAGTCGATGATGAGCGGCCGCTCGTGTTTCCCAGAGATTACAATGAAGAGCACTTTCGCCAAGCCCCGGGGGTCTCCGGTAGTGAAAAATACACCACTCTCCCAGTCCGAGTGAAGCGCTCGATAGTCAGCCGCTGCTCATACCGGTACTGGCGGGCAGTGTATGATATTCTGAGCACCGAGGACGAGAGACGCGGCTAACCGTATTCAGCGGAGTCGAGACGCTGTGAAACTATCCGGTGGAGAGACGAAACGCGTCCGAGGGGTGTGGGAGAGAGAGAGAGAGAGAGAGAGAGAGAGAGAGAGAGAGAGAGAGAGAGAGAGGGGGGGGGGGCAGACAGACAGACAGACAGCCCACCGGTCCGACACAGACGGACAGACAGACAGACAGACAGACATCCCTCCGCGCCGGTCCGACCCACCGATGCCCGGGTCGGCGCCCACGCTGGCCAGGCTGTCCTGCAGCACGTGGATGGGGTCCGTCTCGTGGCCCAGCGACCGGTACCACAGCCGCAGTACGCGGTAGCCGTGGCTCTTGTAGCTCTCCGGTCCTGGGCGGCACAGACGGGGTGTCGTCAGACGCATCAACAAATCGGCAGACGGCAGGCGGGCCCACCTGCACTGGCGTAACATACATCGCATATCGTTCGACACCACATAAATTGTGACCGGCTCATTCAGGTCTTAGCATTGCCAACTTGTCTAAAAAAAAGGCAGAATCATCATGGCAACGACAAAAGACGTCGGATTAACCCTATTCCTGGCGGGGGGGCCTCAGGAGCCCCCCCCCCCCCTAAGGTTTTTTGGTTATTTCTCCCAAACGCGTTGAGCTAGGAAGCTCAAATTTTCTGACTTTTCCTAAAAGGCTTCTACGCAACATGTCTGAAAATTTTGAGTTGATCTGACCTCAGGTCAGGTCACCAGAGGCGGTTTGGTGACCCTACCTCAGAAAAGTTTGCAATCACGCCAGAGCTAGAGTTTTTGACCGATCAATTTCTTCTCTTCAGGCTTTAGTTAGGGTACCAGTATGTGCAATTTGTATATCTCGGAATTTTGATATCGGTGACCTAAGGTCAGGTCAGTTTCACGACCTCCCCATTATAAGTCAATGGGGGAAAAATCAACTCCCTGTTTTTACCACTAAAACGGGTCGGAATGGCCCCATATACCATACATGACTTCATATACGATCAACCTTCACTACCTTGAGGTCTGTTTTGCTGTTGGGCAGCTGTGAGGTCATGTGACGTCATCAAAGGTCACCAAAGGTTTTTGGCCAATAACTCCGTACAGGAACAAGATACAGACGCGTGGATGGTCTCATTGTGTTCAGCTCGTCAAGACGCATCGAATGATATACATGATGACCTCGAGGTCACGTGACCTGAGGTCAACCTTTGACCTTGACCTTTCGAGGTCAACATATATATAATTCGATGCGGATTGACGAGAGGATCACGATGATGCCCTTAGTTTGTTCCTATCTTGACTAATTCGAAAGTTATTCGAGAAAAACTCTCCATATCTAGCGCCGCCATTTTGACTTTTTCGACCCCTGTGACGTCATCTTTGACCTGACCTGAAAATGACCTTAGTAAAAATTGTAGATCTTGACCGTGCGTATCCGATGCCGTTTACCGTTTGTCGCTGCGATGTGTAGTTTTTGAGATCTGAAGGGGGGGGCCGAATCGGCCCCCCCCCGCCAGTTTCTTGTCCCGGCGGAGCCCGCCAGGAATAGGGTTAATGCGATAAAATTATCATCTGAAAACGAGATACTTTCACAACGTATTGCGAGCAGTGAAGCTACAACGCTAGCGATATTTCTCAGCAGCCATCAGTTCATCTCACTCCCAGTAGAACTCTGTCCGTGATCCGCGTGGTAAAAGGACAGCTTCACCCCACCCACCGACGAACTGGTGTTCGATGGCCTCGATCTGGTCCTCTGAGAAGTGCCAGTGGCGCGCCAGCACCTTCCACTTCCCTCGCGGCAGGTAGCGGTTGGCCACGGCGCGGATCAGCTCCTCCACCCGCTCCGACTGGTTGTTGTTGAGCCAGGTGACGCGGATGATGGGCGGCAGCATCAGCAGCTTCAGGTGCGTCTCCTCCTCCAGGAAGGTGGTCGAAGACTGCGACACAGGCGCGCGGTGATGGTCGGGGAGTCGAGGGTGATCTGACGGCAATTGGACTGATAGGGACTAACGCGCTCTGTGGTATCCCGACCTTCACTGAAAGGTCGAACACATTATTGAGATTGAGCGTTCGCATTACTGTCGACTAAGAAACGTCTTACTTCCCGTCTCGACCATAGACCCCTTTAAACATACTCGACCATAAACCCCTTTGTTTAAAGGGGTCTATGTCTCGACATATTTCATTCCCTGATATCGGACTCTACAAGCATTGAAATAAACGAATTAAGTTAAAACTGATCCAAACATATGCATCAGAGACTTACGATGTCCTTGTGGCCTCTTTTCGAGCGCGTATGGCAGATCATGATATCCACGAGAGTGTCGAACCCGCCCCGGGCCGCCACATGCAGGGCAGTCCGCCCTCCCTGAAAGGAACAGACGTGATGAAGGATAGCAATAGCTCACGGCTTCATCACGGTAATGGGCTAACATATCCACTGATAAAGTAAATAAAACGTGGGCATTTCGCAGAGACTTTTATGGGAATGACGAATAATACGATCCTCAAGATAGCGATTTTGGTCGGTCGATGATTTTGCAGACGGTCGCTGTTAACGTGTCTCGTCTCTTAGCGTCGTCACCTGCATGCATAGAGCGCGCGCGAACCGTGTTGTGGATCAATTATCAATTATTACGCCACATTGGTCGTGGTATGTATCATGATTCGTGGTATGTATCATGATTCGCCGGTCGCTGTCTATACGGTCCCGTCTGCACTCTGCATCATGTCACGCCCTCACACCAGTTGCGGTCTGTGCGGTCCGATCTGGACTCCCAGTCATGTAACAGATAAGACGTGGTCTGTCTGTACGGTCACCATCTGACCTCTGAGTCATGTAAGAGATCAGCCGTGGTCTGTAAGACCGCCGTCTGGATTACATCACGCAGCTGTCGGCCGACAGGAGCGGAAGGGCTGCTGCAGTGGCACGTGCTCTATTACCGGCCGGCCGGCCCGGACAGCCGGCGCCGGAAGCCCCCATAGATCAGCGAGCAGTCCAACAGAGCTGCATCCGCCCGGACGTCGCGTGGTGGGAATAATTCACCGACCGGCCGCGCCCGGCGGAACTGAGCAGCGCTCAGCCATGCATACGGCGAGGCCGGTTTAAATTTAATGCCAGGATTACGAGAAATTCGACGCCTTGTAATTTCATTCAACATTTGAAATGTTGCGCTGGTTTCGTAAAGCCACCACTTTGAAATCATAGAGCCGCCTCTCGGCAGGGCAGTCTCAAAGAGTTATATCATGTTTTTCTCATTTGTCTCAACTCGGCAGCACGAAATGAACGCTCTGCTGCCTCTGCTGTATTTCCACTGGCGTTGGCTCATCTGTCTAGAGTGTCACGGTCTCACCTGTTCCTTGGTTACCAGGGAGGCGCCGTGGTCCAGCAGCAGTCGACACAGCTCCTCGTTACCGGTCACAGTGTCACAATGTTACAGTGTGTCACGGTCTCACCTGTTCCTTGGTTACCAGGGAGGCGCCGTGGTCCAGCAGCAGTCGACACAGCTCCTCGTTACCGGTCACAGTGTCACAATGTTACAGTCACAATGTTACAGTGTGTCACGGTCTCACCTGTTCCTTGGTTACCAGGGAGGCGCCGTGGTCCAGCAGCAGTCGACACAGCTCCTCGTTACCGGTCACAGTGTCACAATGTTACAGTCACAATGTTACAGTGTGTCACGGTCTCACCTGTTCCTTGGTTACCAGGGAGGCGCCGTGGTCCAGCAGCAGTCGACACAGCTCCTCGTTACCGGTCTCGGCGGCCAGGTGGAGCGCAGTCTCACCCCTCTGAGGAGATAGCGGGTAATTACGGTCAGACAGAGCGGCAAATGAAGCAGTGCAGTCTCACCTCTCTGGGAAGACGGATGGTATGTACCAGTGAGCTACAGCGGCACAGATAGCAGTCTCGTCCTTTGGAGGAGAGTCAGTTCTTTGGAGCGCGTGGATTATTCCATTCAGCGAGAGCGACATGACACAGCAGCTCGGCACTGAGCAGGTAAGTGTTAACAACAGAAAGCCCCTTCCAGAATTATCGTTATCATTACCGTTGCGGAATAAAGGGTCATCAACCATCGGTTCGGCCGGCATCAAATCGGAGTCAAATCCCTCATCCGTAATCTGTGAGTTTCCCGGAAGGCGAGCCACAGGTTAGAGAGGGAAGAAGAGCACCCCAGCACCGCCCGATCAGCCTCTCCGACAGTTAAGCAGTAATATGACATTTCCACTTGCCTTGTTTTGTGCTTTGACGTCGATGCCCTTCTTCAGAAGACTGCGGGAAATTGCAAACGACTCCGCTATTGCTGCCAAGTGCAACGCCGTGTTGCCAGTCTATGAAACAGGACGGGTTTGCCACAGTTCACAGTCATGTCATTTCGTCAATATGCTTTCATTGATGCAACACGAAATAACATACCAAGTTACGAGAAAGCATAACATCGGACTATAATTAATCCCTAATATAACTGCTCCAGTGGTTGGAAGCCTCAGTATACATTCCTGTTATATCAAACAACAATAGAATAGACTATAGAGACCACAAGCCTGCACCGCGTACGCAATTAGCTCTCACCTTGGAGGTGGCTGCCACGTTACAGCCGGCGGCCAAGAGGACTCCGACCAGTTCGTCGCTGCCGCTACGTACCGCTAAATGGAGAGGCGTCTCACCGTCCTGTGAAAACGTGCAATCAATATCACTGACTGAGCGTAATGGTAGACCGAATTGGGGGAGCCGCTGTGGTGCAATTGGGGGTAAAATTGTGGTATAACACCGTCAGTGTACCTACATATCGGTACATTAAAATTTAAAAGTATTATTATTGTGGTACACTGACTGTGTAATTGGGATACTTATCGGTACACTGACGGCATAATTTGGTTTTCACCGGCACACTGACAGCATAAATGGATATGTGTCTGTACACTGACGATATTATCGGTGTTCATATCGGTACACTGACGGTATAATTGGGGTACATATTAGTGCACTGACGGTATGATTTGGGTTATCGTTACACTGTCGGCTTGAATAGGGCTTATATCGGTACACTAACGGTGTAATTGGGATTTACACCGGTACGCTGATTGGGTGTGAGTGAGGTACATATCGGTATCTTGATGGTATAATTGGTGTACACATCTGTATATCGACGGTATGATTGGGGTTTATATCGGTACAGTGACGGTATAATTGGGGTTTACACCGGTACACTGACGGTATAATAGGGGTTTACACTGGTACACTGACGTGATAATTGGGGTACATATCGGTACACTGACGGTATAATTAGGGTTTATATCGACACACTGACGGTGTTATTTGGGGTTTACATCGGTTCATTGGCGGTATTGTGGGAACTTTAGAGTGGCTGCGGGACCGGTTGAGCAGACAGACCCGTCTGTCGCCGCGATAAATGTAAGACCGCAGGACAGGGCTGTGTGACGGAGCCCTAAGTCCGTCTGGGGACCCGGTGTTATTAGCATATCTCCTGTACGCGGGCGGCGCCGCGGTGCCATTATCAGACAGAGTCCGCCCGCAGCATAACGAGCACATCGACCGCTCCGAAACCCTAGAGGGCCGGCCGACACGACACTCATCACGGGCACACACAAACACGGGCGGGGCGGGGCCAGAGGGGCAACAGTCGGCGGTACCGACACGAGACGGGTATGCTGCACCTCCTAAAAATAAAATAAATACAAATTTATGAGGGTCGTTATGTGTTACCGTGCAATTTAAAACGCATTTTTGTTTACAAACTTGCCTGTTTTTATGCGTTGTGCGAGGTAAATGAATAATGACTAATGCACGTCCATTCTGGACTTCTGGGGGAATTTGCCGAAATTCCTCTAGAACCGCCAGTGTAATGGTACGGCCTCTCGATACCCGGCTGGGTCTCGAGAGTCCCACCACCAATATTAGCTCGTTACAACACCTGCGGGACAATGAAACCACAGGGAAGCCGGGCGACCACTGCACAAAGCAGCATAGCTTGAGCTGGCTGGAGCCGTACAGCCCTCAGTGAAATTAAATCCTATACTTGAACTTCTTCCAGTGGGTAGCAATGTATAAGGTTGTTTTATACCTACAACGCAGATAGCATCAGCATGGGTAAAGGTATCATTATGACACGATAACTTCGTTCACGGGTAAAATGAGTGCGTCAAACGACTACCTACATACTGAACATGGCGCTCGCACGCAGGACATTGGCCGAATGGAGCTTCTATACAAATTGGGACGGCACGCGGCACCTACACGCTCGTGCCCCGCGCATGCCGGTAATATTGCTCTCATGTGTAATCTCCGCAGCGGAATGAAACTGTGACCAGCGGGTGAATACGGACTCGGCTCTCTTCCCAGCACTTTTGTCCAGTGGATACGGGATATCTACGGTCCCGTTCATCCAAGTACCTTCTCATCCAAGCAGCCTCAAACGGCCAAACGGCATCACACAAAATACACTGTAAAAAAAAAACTTACAAGCCCCTCGTAGAGGAATTCTCAGCGCAAAAATAACATTGCAGGAGCGTGTAAATTTGGCTAATTTTAGGCTAGTTGCCGAGTAACAAGCTTGTTCGACAAGGCTGTGCCTCGTATGCATACGACCACCGTGCTCCACCTAGTTTGACAACACGCACGTAAATAGCGTGGGTAGTTCGTCTACTAGGTGTCATAACAGCCCCTGCCTGGTAAGGTAACTAGCCACTGCCTACTAATCCATACCCAGTAATGGTACTAGCCCCCAAGGCTAGTAATGGTACTAGCTCAAGGCCAGTAGTGGCACTATAGTCCGTTTTTCTTAAGTTTGCCCCTCACTGTAAACGTCTCTTTGAACACAGCACGAGAATTGCTAGCTGAATTACTGAGAAAACTGGTAAGCGCACATTGTATTGTAGATATGAATAATATTTTCAAAAATAAGTTTTGAACATCGACGATTTAACGTTATGTTAAGCGCCCTGCAATTTATTTATTAGTTCAGACATAATTCCTGAGAAGTCGTCTATCCCTGTGAGGCTGTAGGTATTGGCAGATACGATTTACGAGTCTGTGAAATAGTAAATAAATTTGATGAAATTGATCGTCTGTGAAATCTGGTTAAATCAGTGTGCGCTAACCAGTTTTCTCAGTAATTCAGCTAGCAATTCTCGTGCTATGTTCAAAAAGACGTTTACAGTGAGGGTCAAACTTAAAAAAACGAACTATAGTTAACCCATTTATGCCCAGGAATATTGACCATCATGAAAATCGATGAAATCAAGATATGTTACGCTTCTACCAGGGCCTTGCATGGAATCGAAAATAATTTTTGCCGGCAGCAAAAGTTTTTCGAGAAAAACGTAAAAAACGTGCGTTGCGAAATCGCAACGAAGGGCACGCCGGGCGCCATCAGCGTTGCGAAAACGCAACGACGGGCACATCAGACAGACATAAAGTACACTATACCGCCGTATATGCTAGTTTGTTTTAACATATATTTCACCAACTGTTGAAAAATATTGCTTGAGAATGCGGAACCCACATCCCTCATGCTTTTACCCGCCTAAGAACCTCAATGAGGGAGCATAACTTAAGGGTTCGCGAACGGGGAGATGGCAACAAACGGTCATTATCAACAACAATTGTCCATTTAAAGTACCTAGTGGTCGGCACGTACCCTGGGCGGTGCTTTCTTTTTGGAAGTTAGACAGAGCCATTAGCCCATTACCCTCTCAAATGAGAACCCCAAACTGAAAACAATTTAACCGAGGATTGGGAGTCAACCAGTGCCTCGCCTAAGCGCCTATCCGCAATACCATTGTTAACCACCCTCCTAGGAGTAAAGACAAATTCAAATACAGGGTAGTCGTGCACACTCTTATCAAAAAATGAACCTATCCGGCTTTCACAAATTACCTGCGTAAGGCGTAGAGCGTCATAACAACTCGGCTTAAAGTGTCTCCCAGGACCCATTTTATCACTTTTACACCTAATCCAAAATTTTCATTGTCCCACTCTCAGCGACCTTCACACTTGTAACCTCTTTCTCGAGACAATGCCAGGGCAGACTGGTGATTCGACGCAGTTCACACTTTCCAAGTGTTTCGTCAATCCGTCCTTTCCATCTTCAGGATAGTAGAATCCTTCTCCATGCCTCAACCTTTGTTTCGAGCTGGACGGGCAACTAGGTATATCGCATTCGAGCAGCTCCCATAGGAGCACAGATCTGTAGCCGGGTACAGAAAGTGCTTGGGAAGGGGGGGGGGGCTGGTTCATGGGTGGCCTGGATGGATGGGCTCAGCCTCGACGATTCACCATGCTCGCTCAGACCAATGTTTTCTCTAATTCCAATAATGCTTCTAACTCTAAAATGGTCTGATTAGACAAAAGGCCTACCCTCAGTAAACAAACAAGCAATGCTTCACATCAACCACCTTATCAATCCGTGTAAACCATGAATTCTAAAAATAAACTATTATTTTCCAGACGCCCTCATCACTCCTGCCGAAGGGGTCTGTTGTCCCCCCCCCCCCGAGGGGGCATATCCCACATTTGCCGCTTCTGGGAGTTATCTTTTCTAACGTAAGGGCCAGCGGATTGCATCCAGAGAATGACAATGCCTATCTGTCGTCTGATACCAGACTACGTCCCCATTATTTAGTACAAAGTAGATCCAATTTTCAAAGTACCTCGCTATCTCTCAACTCCGTTAGCATCGCCGACCGCTTGATGCAGGTCCTTTTCCTACCATGCGATTTTCAGATGCTCGAAAACCCATTGCTCGAATAGCCCGATAATCTGCGAGAAAAAGAAATGAGTGTTTGATAGCTGTTTAAGTGAGTTAATGTGAAACGTGTCGCAACATTCACGTGCAAATGCACCTTGCACTTTACATACCTACACGTCCCTCACGACTACAAAACGAGAGAGAGATAGAGAGAGAGAGAGAAAGAGAGAGAGAGAGAGAGAGAGAGAGAGAGAGAGAGAGAGAGAGAGAGAGAGAGAGAGAGAGAGAGAGAGAGAGAGGGAAGGAGAGAGAGTTGGGGAGCGTGGAAGAGAGGGAGGAAGATTGGGGAGAGAAGGAAAGAACCCACAACGTATCTCAAGTGAAGTCTATTTGATGTTCCTAATACTTCCGCTGCCCTGCCAATTTGCCCCTCGTTGCGTTTTCGCAACACCCCTGTCATTCCGATGTGCCCAACGTTGCGTTACCGCAACACGACTGTAGTCATATTTGAAAATAGTCACAAACCCTATTTGCAGCATAATTTGTTAATAAAATGTATATTCTAGCTATTGTAGGGACTCTGCAGAATATGTTCACACATTATTCATTACGATATAATTAATCACTTAATCTACTTATTTTGGTTTTCGTGACGTCATCACTGACGGGACCTTCGACTTCCCTCTGGAAGCTCTGGACGGTAAGTTACCAGCCGCACAGACTTGTAACTGCGTAGCATCATGCGCGGATCCATGCTAAACGCGCTGAAACTTGTCTCATCGGTGAGACGCCATTATACACTTCTCAAGATTTGATCACGTCGACGCTTGCTTGTGTTGCGAAAACGCAACGAAGGGCGTAAATGGGTTAACTAGTACCACTACTGGTCTTCGGGGTCGAGGCACGGTCGACGGAATTCCGTCGACGGAATTCCGTCGACCAGTGCCCCCGACTCTCGACCGCCACCCGCAAGTAAACAGACTGAGTAGCGCTGCAGCACATTTATTCGGGCACGAGAACGAGAACGAGAACAATAACAACGCCAGGACAATAACTATAACTTTAACAACAACAACAACAACAACAACAACAACAACAACAACAACTAACTGAATAATTTTCAATAAGGTTTCTTATAACCACCATCAAACATTTGTGATTTTTTCATTAGCTCTGCACCGGCGGCAGTCGCGGGGTGCAGGTAGGCCAGGACATATACATGGCCCCATTCTAAACCAGAGAAGTCTGTAATGGGTGAAAAAAACGAATATTAACATTATTATTATCATAAGGCATACCAATCTGGAAAATGATTAAATTAAAGTTGAATAAAGTGATAGACTCCTGCCACAAGCTAGCTTAAGTCCCAAACATATAGCTATTCTGACTTGGATAGACGATACCGGCGCACTTCTGCCAACGACGGGCAACATTATGCGATACTATACATCTTCTAAGAAGCTCAACAACATAATAACTTTTGTTTACAAATGGACAACCTTTTTGTTGAGCACACAGCAAATGATACAAGATGCCTCACCTTCAATCAAGCCAAAGAGCAGTTGGGCAGACACACACAGCAATGGCGACGCAACACAAAATGGACGCCGGCTCCCGGAAGCGGGGGGGGGGACTCCTTCTGAAAGCAGCCACAGACTCCTAGGTTGTAACATGCGACGAGGATAGCTATGAGGCACATCCTCATAGCCATCCGAAGCCGCTTACCGCGCAAGCTTGCCAGCACGTTTACCAGCTGCAGGCGTTCGTGACAACAAGCGGGGTTGCACGCAAGGTTATCCGTTTAGTAGGTGCCAGCCGGGGCCTCGTCAGCTGAGCTAATAGCGAAATGACCTAATTGAGGGACACGCTAAAAACTGGCCGAGAACAAGCCAACGGCGGGTAACACTGTGAGGCTGTGCGTAGTTCATTAACACTGCGCAAAATTAGGTTCCTGAACATGTTCTCGCTCGTAGGCATTTGTTCCACAAGCGGCATTGTTAACGTGCATGGCTCTGACTACTAATGTCCATATATGTTGTAACGAGGAGCAAGGGAGGCACTCGTAAAAAATGCCTAATTTCAAAATTAGCTAGTGAATTTTTTTTACAGTGTACACCGGGATTCGTCGAAAAATGTCTCTATATGTAGATATCCTACTTAGTTCTCATTGTCCCTTCCTGGCTCGCTTAGACATACACCGACCGGTTTCATCTATACTGCAGTTCTTTGAGCCGACGCCTTAACCCTCGCCGGCACAGGGGGGGGGGTTGATGCAACCCCCTCCCCCCTAAGGTTTTTCGCGAATAACTCGCGTAAAAAGCGGCCGATCGCGACGAAACTTTCAGTACCCTCGCATTGATCAATTTTACACCTACCCTAAAAATTTCATGACCCTGACCCCAATGACCTTTGACCTGTGACCTCTTTTCTGTGACCATGTTTGGCCGAAATCGCGGTTCGGCGCATGTCGGCTCGCATTAGCCGCGCGTTTGCAAGCTTTTCGTGGTTTCAAACGTTCAAACATGTTATTTGATGTTGCTCCCATGCATTAGGGTGGGTGTCAAGGTCACCTGAAGGTCAGGTCAGGTCATTGACCTTTGGTGACCTCGGGTGACCTCGGTTCACTTTTTCGAGTTTTACATGTTTCTAGGCTAGTTTTTGGAGCTGAATTCGAATTTAGCAACCATTTGAACATTTACGAAGTAGTTGTGGTGCCTTCGTAACATGTTACGAAGCTGTCCGAGGCGGTTGACACGTATTACGAATACGCGTCACAACCCCTACCGGTTGACCTGACCTGACCTGACCCGACCTGGTCTAAATGCTTAAAGACATCATCGCTGATCAAAACTAATACGATATTCGTGATCAGCACCCCGGAAAACCACATAGCAGCCACACTTTACGACTTTCTAACAGGTCCCGATTTTCCCGGTTTTCGGGTCATTGACCTGACCTGGAAGGTCACCCGATGACCTAGGACCTTAAAATTGGGTATCATCGGCTTCGTCTCGTAACGGGCAACACGCTCGTTTTTTCCGCGAAGCTCTAGCTCGATCAAGGGCCAAACGCGAGGGGGTGTCTTACCAACCCCCCCCCCCCCTTGTGCCGTCGAAGGACTCAAAATGGCCTGTGCCGGCGAGGGTTAATCATCGTCTGTCATCAAGCATCATGCCATCGATTCCCTTCATCCCATATATAATTAATCTGATACAAATTCAGGGATATTTTGACTCAATCAGTTCCTTCCCAGCCCATCCCACTGCACTTTGTATCAGCCCTCCCAGTTCCCACCATACCCATCCGTCCGCTCCGCTCGGTACCTACCTGGTTGGCGACATCGACGTCGGCGGCGGCAGCCAGCAGGAGCTCTGTGACGGGCCGTGACTGGCTCTGGACGGCCAGGTGGAGGCACGAGCTGCCGCGCTGGTCGGTCCGGTCGGCGCCGCCGAGCGGCTCCTGGCGCAGCAGCAGGCGCACCACCTCCGGCTGCGCCTCGGCACAGGCGGCGTGCAGCGGCGTCCGACCCAGCTGCAGACGAAAGGTCACAGGCGGGTCACAGGCGGGTCAGAGGCGGAGCACAGGCGGCGTGCAGCGGCGTCCGACCCAGCTGCGGCACAGAGGGGGAGGGGGAGGTCAGAGGCGGGAAGGAGGCGGGTCAGACAGCGGCGTCCGGCCCAGCTGCGGCGCAGAGGCGGGTCACAGGCGGGTCAGAGGCGGAGCACAGGCGGCGTGCAGCGGCATCCGGCCCAGCTGCAGGGGCAGAGGCGGGTGACTGCTCAAGCTCTGTACTGCTCTCTGCTCTGCAGAGGTCGTCAAAAGCCAAATTCTCCCAATTTAACGTTCTTGGACAAATCAGCTCATAGTTCGTTCGTAGACCTATACAAAACCGCAGGGCAAGCAATCAATAGGCCTGTACACATTCAGCTGTTGTGCTGTTGTCAGCTGAAATAGGCTCCGCCCACCGCTTCTGGCTGACAGAACTGTATACATTTGGCTGATGAAAAATGTCAGCACCACTGAACTCTAATATATACTGGAAGGAGCATTGGTGACTTGTTTTTGTCTATCGATTTCCGCCATGTTGTGTATACCAGAAATATAAATTGCATGTACGGTAGCAGAGGTGCAGTTTAGTGAGAGGTACACTACTCAAAAGTGCTGCTGCTTCATGCTTGCAGTTTGATTGCACTGATCAACTTTTCAAGACTTTGGTATACACAACATGGCGGAAATCGTTAGACATTCTGGCCCATATACGGCCAAGGCGAGTGCCTCCCCCTGAGCCCTGTTCGGGTCCGCGCAAAATATTTTGCAGCGTGTGACGGCACACTTGGAATGACGTCAGCCACTGGCTCCGCCCACTCTCCGCCGGGCCGCCAGAGCCGAGGGCCGCGGCGGCCGCGGCAGCCATTATTCGACGCGTGACGAACCGTGGCGCGGATGGACTGGTGGTTTTCGTTCAAAAACTGAATAAAATGCGTTCAAATGTGGTTAATAGCAATGTGCCACTGAAAAAAGTGATAATGATACCCAAAAAGCAGCATTCAAACCGCTTACAATGAGAAATATAGGACGGTAAACTTTAATTCGCGCCACTTTCGCCTCCTGCAGCTCCTATTTTCTTGTTGCGCAAAACTGAAAGATTTTGCGCGTGCCGACGTCACACATGTGACGTCATACGCCGAAGGGCGGAGCCTGGCACCCGAGAGACCCCTACTGCGCATGCGTGGTGCAAAATTTTGCAGTAGGATGCGCTGCCCGAACAGGGCCCTGGTCAGCACTGGCTGACTGTTTACAAATATGGCGTTGTAAACAAATATTTCGTCTCATCTTCATGTTCTTTATTAATACAATACTTAAGCAGTTAGATATATTATCAAAATATTTACTGACAATGTGCGAAAGTAATAAGTATTTTTCTTGTATCGACAATTAATTATGAAACCAAATATATGTGAATAGCGCCAACATGGTGTCCAAATTTCATTTATCTGCAGTGCTCAATAAAAATCTGGCACGTGATTTGCTTTCATGCGCCACTACCAGTGTCTAAATGCGTCATTTATGGCTTTTGCTGACGGCTCGGCATCTCTGCACTTGCTTTCTCGTAGCAGCACAGCCCGTCAGCCCATGCTGCCGGCAGCAGAGAGGTGACGTCATGTTGCATGTGCAACATAACGTCATCAATTTTTCAGCCAATAGTGTGAGTGATTTTCGGCTGACAGCAGCACAGCAGCTGAATGTGTAGGTACAGGCCTAAGATGTAGCTCTTTTGGCGTTTTCACACACACTGCTTAAATGACCTAAGGCCAATGTTTCAAGAATCAAAAGTACGCAGGCCCTTCTCCCTGCATTACGCTGGCTGCGCATATATTTACCGTGAAGCGCATATCCGTTATGTGCTCACGCTGAATCATTAGAAGTCCATATATCATAGAACTCTCAGAACACCCCAGGCCAGGATGTCGCGGTCCAGCCCGCAGATCATCACCGTTACACGTCAATCGCCATCAGGTAGCGGCGAGGAATGAGTTAGCGTTTCTTATAGGTATCTTGGAGTTAGCCATCTGCCTTCCATTTACTAAGGTTCTTTACATCCGGTATCTCCTGACTTTTTGCGATGCAATCCTACGACGAATGTTTCTGCGCATCGGCCGACATTGCTTTTACGGATTGAATGCAACGGTGGGAGGTATTTGCTCCGAGCAGTCATTTATATGTAGGATACCACTGTTCATTGACCAGAAAGCGTTTTTGATAAGTTATCAATTATCTTTAACGAGAAGATGAGGTGCGTCGCTTATTGCATGATTTAGCGATTACCTACTGGTTAGCGTGGGTAGCCTACTGAGCCCCTAGTTTCTAGGCAAATACTTTCGCTAAATCTTTCGTTATGTCCCATCACCTGTCGCTCTTTCCCGTCTGCGCACTGGCCGAGTCCGTAAACTGACTCCGTCCACTGCCCGTCCACCGCCCTTCTACCACTCGTCCACCGCCCTTCCACCACCCTTCCACCACCCGTCCACCACCCGTCCACCACCCTTCCACCCTCTCCCATCCATGGACTGACCGCGTCGGTGGACTAATTCTGTGGGTTGTCCATCGCCGATCCAGTACCCCCCCCCCCCCCTCGAGTTGCACTGACCGTGTCGGTGGCGTCGGCGCGGCAGCCGGTGTCGAGCAGCAGCTGGGCGGCCTCGCGGTGACCGTGGTGCGCGGCCGCGTGCAGCAGCGACCAGCCCTGGCCGTCCACCGAGCGCAGGTCGTAGTGCTCCAGGTGCTCCAGCACAAACCGGATCACCGCGTCCCGGCCGGCCACCACGGCCGCGAACAAAAAGTTCTGGCCACGCTGTCGGCAGGGAGAGGCAGGAGCCGTGAGGGGTGAGGACAGCCACCACGGCCACGGCCGCGAACAAAAAGTTCTGGCCCCGCTGTCGGCAGCTCTCGGCGGAAAGTGTAAGAGATGAGCATTCTTGTGATGTATTGGTGCGACTTGTGCGACAGCTGCCCCAAGCAGCCAGGCAACATTGGCTTCACAGGAATGAAGATGAATGAAGAACAATTCACTTCAAACGGGTCAGCAGCTTGCATAAAACGTTCGCAATACGATGAAACAATATGCAAATCAGCGGTTGTTTGGTGCGCGGTCGATTCGCAGGGAAAGTTCTCTATTCTTCAAATAGAACGTCGACCAGTTCCGTTTCCTTGCAATGACAAATGGGATTTCGTTTATCGGATTTCACATGTATCGTGGCGTCGTTCTGCCCATCTGACATCGGGAAAATGACGCCCATTCATAAAACATGTTCTGTCGTGACCTTTCGCCAAGCCAGTGTCACGCAAACGGCCCATGTATAGCAATGTAGCTAGCACAGAAACACGACGTGTCAGCTCCATTAGAGCGGGAAATAAACGTTTCATGACAATCATGTGACTCGGTGAGATCCGACCAAACAAAAAATATCCATGTCGGGGACGTGCATACTTATTTATAGATAGCCAATCAAGACAGCAAAGGATATCATCTAGCTAATTTGAGCTGCACCCGAACACTTGATAATGTGTTACGATTGATTATACCATTAAAGTGTAATCAAACTGTCTCTATAATGACCGATTTATCCCGGTAATGCACCAGCAGGCTACAGCAATCTGTGACTATATGCATTATGCATCCGCCAGTTCGCTTTTGTGAGAAGATCCTACGTTTTACTTTTGTCGTCTGTTGAGCCAAATTCGAGTTCATCTGGTGGGGTGTTTGATTGCAGAAGCTGTAGTGTAGTGTATCTCATTATGTGTTGTCCTCAGACGTCATGAGTCCATCACTGACCTTGTTGAGCACGGTGAGGTCGGCGCCGCTGTGGATGAGCAGTTTGAGCACCTCCAGGTGACCGGCCGAGGCTGCCAGGTGCACGGCCCGCTCCTGTCTCTGCGGAAGCGGAGGAGACGGCTCAGGTCAGCGGCGCGGAGACACTGGGAGGCTACTCAGTCGGCGAACTAACCCGGGGATGAGAGCGCAGTGCAATGGCACACTGGTATGGTGTGTGCCCCGGCGGTGAATTTTATCCTGCTCTATTAGCAGATCACACGAGGAAACTAAAGAGAAGTGAAGCATTGATATCATTTTGACATCCTCTTTTAGGTTGCTGCGTCTCAAATGGTGCCGAAACTTGACGACCGTCAACCGTCAGTCAGCCTTCATGGCATTCATGCACCGAACCTTAGCACTCTGTTAGCTCGCAGCGCTGCTTCCACTGCCCTAACTCTCGGCCCCGGTTACCTTGTTGGAGGCGTCGATGTCGGCTTTGGCGGCGAGCAGCAGTTTGACGGCGTCCACGTCCCCCCGTTTGGCCGCCCTCATCAGGGGCGTGATACCCTGGGGCGAGGTACAGCGCATGGACACAGGTCAGATAGCTGGCGTATAGTCACCGTTCTGCTTTCGTCTTCCGCAAAATTTCGACAACAAACAAACGTTTACCGAAGACTGCCCACTTCCCATCGTGTAACGCACATACTTCAAATAATCGACGCCGGTCGTGCAGCCTCTCACCTTGTATTTGAGGTTGACATCCACCCGGGCCTTGAGAATGCTCTCAATGGCCGTAAGGTCACTCCGAATTATGGCTTCATGGAGATGCAAACCCTCGATCAGCGCTGAAATCACACAGAAAGGCTGGACTAAGATGTAAGCTGCTAACCAGGGACGGATATAGAAGTGAGGTTGTGTCATTTGTGGACCCTAGCCGAAAAAAAAAATTATGCCGCTCTCGGGGACCGAGGCGCCGAATTGCCGCAACACTAGGGCTGGCGGAATCACAGGGTTGATGAGACTTCCCGGGACCGAGCGGCTCCTGAACAAAATAGCTTACTTTCGCAGACAAAGACATGCGTTGTTGCCCCAAAACGATAAATACATTTAAAATCCGCCCTACCATCCTTCCCCGCCCCGCATCGCTCTGCGAAGACGTTGGCAAAATGCTAAACAGTAAAAAGTTTACAGTATAGGTACTAATAGAAACGTAAACATCAGTTGGCGTTTGACCTCGGACGGGGTCGGACGTGCCCGCGCGAGCTCCGGTCATGCGAGCTGAGTGAGCGCCAGTGCGTGTACCCGGGCGCCAGTGTTTACCGGTGGTATAGAGCAACGGACACGTGTTTGACTGATTTAGGAGTGACATTTCGTGATCTGGTATATCGTGACGCGCTTACCGTGGCAATGGCGTCTGATGAGAGTGCCGACGAGACTTTTTTCACGGACTGCGTCGCGTCTGGCGCCGAGACACATCCTGAGACGCCGGCTAACCGTCGGCGACAGCTCTCAGTACCAGAAATGGTAAGAAGGGCTGAAGGGAGGAAGTCGAAGCGTCCTGCGCCAGACCGCAGTTCAAAGTCTCCACGAGACCTCGCCATGCCCGCTGCGAAGCGGCCGCTCGCCAGCCCTGCCGAGCCGACAGAGCAGCTGAGCGGCGCGGCCTCGCCCGCGGGCGTGGAGCTGAGTGCAGGTGCACTGGCTGCCATACAGAGACTGGTAAATGCAGGCATCGCCTCAGTCATCGGCGTTTTTGAAACAAAATTCGATAAAATGTCGAAGCGCATCGAACTTCTCGAATCTGAGGCCATGGATCGAGAAGTAGAGATGCAGCACACCCGAGAAAAATTGACACAGCAGATCCAGGTGAACTCCGAGCTCCAGGCGCAGGTCGAAAGTATCGATCTGAACCGAAGACTCGCATCGTTGATCTTCACATGCGAGGGATTCGGCCGAAGATCAGCTGATGAAGACGCCGAGCAAATGATCGTGAGTCTTCTCAATGAAAGAATACCTGCTCTGAAGCTAACAAAAGCAGACATTCACGCCGCTCATCGGCTGCAACGAGACGACAAAATCATAGCGAAGTTTGTCAAGAGGAGCGTACGCGACTACATCTACGACGCCCGCTTCCACCTCTCACCCACAGGAGACTTCCAGGGACGACGAGCTCCGCTGTTCATCTCTGAATCACTCACAACAAAAAAACAGCAACTCTACAACCAGCTGCTTCAAGTCCGCAAGTCGAGCGGCGGCACCAAGGTGGCGTCCGTCTTCAGACGCCGGGGTCTAGTGTTCTGCCGTACGGAAAAGAACGGACCTAACATTCGAGTGCCCGACGAGGACGCCCTGAGGCGAATCATCGGTGGAGCGAACTCGGAGCTGCCCCCGCGCGGCGCGGCCCGTGCTGGTCAGGTGGCCGACGCTCGGCTGGGCCGGGGGGACCGGCGCCGGGGCGCTCCCGACCAGACCTTCGGAGGGCGACGTACTACCCGGAACGGAGCTGGATCCGACGCGTCGGTGGCCGAGGGACGGCGCAGCGGAGCCGACGGGGCCCGGGAGACCTCTGCCGCCGATCGGGGCGACGTTGAGTCGGCCCAGCGCTTGGTGGAGGCAGGTGCCGGCCGCTCAAGTGGCGCAACGGATGGACGGCTCGGGCGGACGGCTGCGCCAGAGTTACCGACGGCCGCCGCGGCCGGCGCGTCGACGGTGGCCGCGGCCGCTGAGCCTCGCCCTGGGACGGTAGCCGGGCCTCCCGACACGGCTGCCGCTGATGTGGCGACCGTCGGGGCGCCCTCTGTGGTGCCCGCTGTGGCGCCACCTACGCCTGGACCGTCGGACAACTCAGTCTGATACCGCGGACACAAACGGTGATGTATCAATACAACAGTCTCGCTGTTTGATGAAACGAACTCTTTGCCGTCCTCCTCTTTCTTTGTTTCTGTGCCCCCTCTCTCACTATCTAGCGAGTTTTTTTTTGTGTAGTGCACACCGTGCAGCTCGACTCTGCGATGTGTCATATATGCTTTTAGGTTAAGATCGGTCGGGTCGAGGTCGTCGGTCGGGCCGCGGTGGGGATGCCCTCGGCGGCGGGTCGCGCCGTATACCGACTAGCGGGTTCGGCGTTGCCTCCGCTGCCCAGTGAGCCGCTCCTCTAGCGGCCGGCGGCGTTAGTATCGACCTCTTGAAGGACAGGTTTGCGTGCACTGCCTATTTACAAATGAATATGTATGTTTGCGGATGATTATTTATGTTACGAGGTATATTAGCCACCAACTATTTGTATTAGATGTACTCAAATCTCTGGCGGATCGGTACACAGCCTTCCCTGGAGGTCATAAAGCTGAATACGTTACTGATCTGCGTACATTGTGCAAAGCCAACGATATGCAGTGTATGCACAAGCGAGCATACACATACAGATACACACACGCACGTATGTACCCGCACGCACATGCACACACACACACCAACACACACATACACACACACACATGGGCAGTAGGACACGTACGCATAATGCATACATGCGCACACGTTAATGCAGTCGCACATCCCGGGGGTGGAGCGGACGCTGCCTACAAAGTCACCGTTTTTGCAGGACATGATTGTTCAAAAGTATTCCTAGGTGTTAAACAACAAGTTATTGTTTCAAGTCATTATAATGGATAAAATAGCATTCATGTCAATGAATTGCCGAGGTCTAGGAGACCAGCGGAAAAGAAGAGACGTTATGCATTACATTCGAAATAAAGGTTTTAACATTGTATTTCTTCAAGATACTCACCTAACGGAAAAGACCATACCATATTTTGATAGTTTATGGTGTGGTAAAACGTTTCACTCATGTTTGTCGTCTCAAAGCAGAGGGACGAGTATTCTACTTCATAATAATTTACAATATACACTCATAAAAGAAGTAAGTTCAGATTGCGGAAACTTCGTACTGTTAAACGTAAAAATTAACAACGAATCATTTCTTCTAGTAAGCATTTATGGACCTAATGAAGATAATCCTATGTTTTACAGACAGCTTAAAGGGACTGTCCCACCTTAACATTAGATTTGAGTTGAGATAGCCATCTTGATGGACGTTCTTTGAAAATCAGTGCCGTGAAAACCGTTTCTCCAGCAATTACTTCATCGCAAAGAAATTTGAGTTTGATTTTGACATCTGTGCAAATAAGTGCCACAATGTATTGGTATAGGCACTTAAATCTGATGACGTCATCAGGCTTTCGAACGTCCGTTAAATGTTTGACTAAAACGTTTTGTAGCACGCGGTGGTATATGCTGCGTTGCGCGCAACAAATGCCGCACTTTTAAATAAAGTCGCTAGGAACAGCGGAGATCCCAAAAAGTAAACAAAAGTAAAAGTCGTAATATCTTGAAAACCGGTGAATATTTTTCGGTGAAATTTGGTAGATATTCGTTTTCGCTCTTTCTGAACCGAGCGACATCACTTTCATGCCAATTCATAAACTTTTTTAAAGGTGGGAGGGTCCCTTTTATAATACATTAGAACAATTTGATGCACAACATATTATTATGGGTGGGGACTTCAACTTCGTCATATCACCTCAAGTAGATTCTTATAATTACGCTGGCGAAAATAACGTTCGAGCCAAAAGAACCTTCTTAGACCTCACATATAAGCACGGACTTGTTGATGCATGGCGGCAGGCACATCCAGAGGACAAAAAGTACACATGGTACAGAAAAAGCCCACTGAAAGCTGGACGCCTTGACATGTTTTTTGTTTCCGAAGGCTTATTAACTTCATTGAACTCGATTGACATCATTCCTGGGTATCGCACCGATCACAATATGATTACTCTAGAAATTCAAAGCAAAAACAAGAGGGGTAATGGAATATGGAAGCTTAACACTGCACATTTGAAGGATGAAGAATATGTAAAAAGAATTAAAGCATGCATTACCCACACGCTAAAACAATATGCGGTCCCCGTCTATCAAGAGGTTTTTTACAGTGACAGTACACAATACCAAGAAATTCAGCTTACTATAAGCGATTGCTTATTTTATGAAACATTGCTTATGATGTTACGAGGAGAAACCGTGCAGTTTTCAAAACAAAAAGCAAGACACACGAGGCAGAGAGAGAAAAGTTTAGAGAGAAAAATAATGATCGCAGAAGAAAAGTTAACTAGTTCTGGCCAGGCAAACGACTCTGTTCAGCTAGACATACTAAAGAATGAATTAGAGGAACTAAGGCGTCCACTTATAGACGGACTCATCGTCAGATCAAGAGTATCCTGGCACGAGAAAGGAGAAAGGAATTCAAAATACTTTCTCTCTTTAGAAAAAAGAAATGCGGATAGAAAAAATATACAATACATTCAGGTCGGTGAGAGAAATATCACAGATGCAAAAGAAATTTTAGAGAACTTTTCAAACATGTTTGAACAAAAATACAGTACAAATAGCGAAATAAACCCAAATAAAACATTTATATCCAGTAATATTAGAGATAAACTAAACAATATGGATAACGAGGCGTTAGAAGCTGACATTCAGATGTCTGAACTTACAGACGCGCTACGCTCAATGAAAAAGGGGAAAACGCCAGGCTCAAACGGATTCCCTGTCGAATTTTTCCGCTGCTTTTGGGCCGAAATAGGTCCATTTTTACACAGAGCACTTACAGAATCACTAAAATACGGTCAGGGTTTAATTTAAATACACATCGCGAAGGTATGATAACGTTAATCCCCAAAAAAGGAAAACCACTCCATTCAGCCAAGGCTTGGAGACCTATTACACTACTAAACACTGACTATAAAATTATATCAACAGCCGTAGCAAATAGATTAAAAACAATAAT